TTTGTATGAAGCTGTGTGTGGTCCAGCGCATAAAGCGCATTTAGCGGGAGTCGACGGGGGTTTTGTGCATGTGGCGGAAGGATGGTTATCCCCACACTTTACGCACCGAGGGGAATGGTGACAGTAATTACTCGTATGAAAGTAGGCCTGACAGTCTTTGCATTGAGGAGGGGATAATTTTATTTTAGGCCGCTCGATTTTGATTTTTGTGTGGMACAGTGAATYAATGTCGAAGATATCGCTGTTGTTATCTGCTAGCTTTAAATCAACCCGGAAAAGAGGCAATGCACGTTTATTTATACGATGTAAAATATTTGTGACCTGRATTACTTCGTGGCCTTTATCTGTAATGTTGGCTTCAATGTCTTCAACAGAGGTGGACGGGTGGAGGTGTCTAATAAAAACGCTGTACGGTCTAAGTGGCTTGGGTAGATAAGAGTGGAATTTGATTTGTTTATTGTTCGATAGGTATTCACTGATAGCGTTGTAGGCAGATATACTGCGAGGATGGATAATCAGGTATTTGAGAGTATTTTTAAAATAAAAACTCGATGGATCGAGTACTTTAAGTAAGGAATTTTTGAGTGTAGAGAAGTCGTATCCGTCACTTACGCAGAAGGGGGGAATATGAGGCTTGGTCGTTGGTGGCGGTTCCAAGTAGGTGTGCGAAGAGGTGTCCTCTGCTTGAGGCGAGACTGTGACAGGCGGAGGACTGAACACCTCCGGGTGAGGATCGGCATCTTCGGAGAGAGAGGCAAATCGGTTCGGCGAAATAAAAATTTTGTTTTTATTAACACCATCATTGCTAGAAGATGACGATAAATTACGTTTAGAGGATTTAGAAGCAGGCATATTAAGGTTGGGTGCCGGGTGGTCATTAGTGAAAGGCGATAACGGACGCACGCGACGAACGTCCGCTCGCGATAAACGGTACCGAACGACTGAACTAAAAATATTATTAATAATAATCATTTGATTGGTACCTATTTGTAAGATATTACTTGAAAAATCTTAATTCGACTACTCTGACTCCTCATTATTCTATTTTTTAACTAAGACATATATKTCAACAGATTAAAACACGTTTATTAGATCTAGAAACACACTAACTACTAGTTGTTTTGCATTTAACTTATGTGCTATAATTTTTCCTAGGTTAAATTTTAACCTAATCTAACCTTCTTGTAACTCGTTGGAAATTCTTTCACAGATAAACACTTATTTAATATTATAGATAAAGGTAGTGATATATTGTCAGCTGTTTTTTTTTTTTTTTTTAAATGACAAGTTAGTCAAGGATCTTTCAGGAGTGTTCTTTACATTTACTAATAAGGTAACTTATTTCATCAGGTTCAATTTGCTTTAAATAGAGTTATTTATGTTATATAACACTTATTGTCGAGTTCATTCCAATCTCTTTGTTTAAAATTATTCATTTGAATACGATCCGCAATAACAGCTTCTACATAGACATAACATTTATTTAAAATGCTAGTAATTTCATATTAATTGTCTGAGGTTATTCTATCATATTTATTCAATACCTATTTAATTTACAGTTTTTATTTTTTATTAGTTTTTGTATTAAAACTCTATTCGATTAAACTCGTACCCTTACTTTTTCAAATAAACTTAAATACATAATGCTTACTTTATGTTGTACATGTATAAAAAAGTATAAAATATAAGTTATATAAAAATTTTGTAATTTTAAAATTCACACCTATATATATGATTATTGTATCTGTGGTAGTCGAGTTTGATTGTAACGAAACTACTATAATAGTGCCCCTTAGCATAATATTATATATACAACATATTATCGACCTTAGGTTAGGGTTAATGTTAATGTAAATTATTATATTTTTTATACTTTTCTATCTGAACATCAAAAGGTAAATATTTTTTATATTTCACYAAAAAGGGAAGATTACGGCATTAGTCGAAATCGGTTATGCCCAATGCATAGACCTACACATCTTCTGAGCATGTTACTCAACCTTAGGGTAAGTAGACAATTGATGGCTGTTAGATATTTTGTATTATTGCATAGATAAAGTAAAACCGTGRACAGTTTTTGCTATTTCAGATCGTAATAAACAGCTAAATATGGCGAAATGCAATTCTGACTATTTCAAGTATTTTACGTACATAATTAATTTTACAGATTAAACAGGAAGTCTAAATGTACAGTAGTTCGTTTAAAGATTTCAAACAAATTGTCGCATTAATATCAATAATCAATATACAATATTAATATTAATATATATTATATTACTTCATATGATTGAAATTATATTTAATTAATGCTCATTACGGCTATTGTTTTTATTTTTTTTATGATGAGATCGTTTTTAAACATTTTTGGATTTAACTTTACCATTTAAAAACTGTGTATTCCTTAAGTTGTGTATAAAACATAAATATAGTGTACTTTTATACGTCATCAAACTATACTGATCGAGAGTAGTTGATGTTTTTTTTTTTTTTATAGTTGTACCTACCTTCTGCACTTATGACGTTACAATCGAAATTTTGGGTAGGTATTTCTATTATCAGTTGTAAGTATCTAATGAATTTGATTTTCTTTTCAAGCTCTTTGTTATAACTCACTGTATTGTAAACGAAATATTTTGAACACATCATCGCTACTCATCGTAACGTAAGTAGGTAAGCACTATTGTACGACATTTTGTTTACCTCAAAACGTATATATACACACGCCTCGGCGGTCAATTTGTTAATAGGCCGAAAACCATAATCACTCGGACGAATTCAAACCGATGTTTTTTCGACCACCGGGTCGACAGTAATCGATTGTCGGATATAATGCCGGCCGCGGGGATGAGGTCGAGATGCCGTATAGAGGGTTGCGGAGGAGGGTCGAGAACACAAAATGTTAAATATAAGAAGTACATACATGTGTATGTATATATGTATTTATTATTTTTTATCTTTTCATTCTTCTCCGTCTGTTCCCTTCGTCCGCGTTTAATCCACCGCCGCCATCCGACATGATCCGGCGAATTATAACCTCTTATTTATTTGTGTGTGTATGTGTCTGTGTGTGAGTATATATATAATAATAGTATATTTAATATAATAAGCTAATTTTATTCCATGTCATGTCCCGCCGTCACTGCAGCACCCGATTAGAAAAAAATATTTCGTTTGCCTGTGCGTGGTGAACCCGCGACGGATAATAATAAAAATATTCACACAAGCCGCCTCATTGCCGTCAGACCGTATTCTTCTGGGCGTGCCGAGAACATCGTATAACTAATGTTATATTATAATATTACTACCTAAATATATATTTAGACGATATATTTAAAATCAGTGTTGTCACCACCCAGAGCTATAGGTACGTGTAGATCCGTGTATCTAACACGAATAACACATATTTCATAATAATATATTATAATGCTAAATTAACATGTATTATGTAACCTATAYGTAGATGAAAAATAGACAAATAGATCTTATATTTTACATCAAATTTTTTATTCAATACAATTGTTTAATTTATAAACATACTACATACATATATGTATATAGAAAGAAAGAGAGAGAGAGTGATTCAGCGGGTACCTACCCTTTTTTTCTTGAATTTAGTTATTCATCAAAATCTGTTTTTTGGAATTATTAAATTTACGATATTCCTAGGTCCTATATAGACCCTAGTGCCATATTTAAATTTCTTGAGATTGTTGTACTATTTTTCCTTTGGCAATCCAAATTTCTGTTTTAAATTTGAACATMTATATTTTATTATAAATTAATAATAGTGGATAATTTTTTTGAAAATTTTGACGTATCAAGATCAAAATTCAATCCCCAATTTTCGATTTTTTTTTTAACTTGAGTACCTATTAAGAAAAATAGGTTTGGAAGATCTAAAAATTACAAAAATCAGAAATTGAATAAATGCATTACCTATTTAAATAAAAGAGGGGGTGATTCACTTTGTATATATTATATTATCTATAACACATATTAAGCGTCGTTACGGGACTTTTAGTCTTTAGGAATATTATATTATTTTATTTTATCAAATTTTAATTGTTAAATAAAAATGTACCTGATAAGAAATCGATATTTTTCACTTACCTCATCCACCGATCGCTGTCTCCTGCTGTACCAGCCAAACAAAAAACGACAAAAATCCACGATCTTTCATCGTGTTTTCTATACATATATATTAATATTYGTACTATATATAAAATTACTTATGTGGTATAAGTAGAATAATATAATAGGTGACGATTCGTAAACCATATAGATATATTGGCTCGTATGCTATTAATGTGAATGCACGACGAGGAATAATAACATAACACGGATGTGGAAGGAAAAATAAAACTGGGTTTTTAACATACGGTGTTTCTAATACAATATTTTAGTTATCTTTCAAAGCAATTTTACCATAATATTTTTTTTGTGTTTTATACATAAATTATTGGATAAAAATTAACAACTACAATTATTTTATCTTATTATTGCTACAAGGAACCAAAATTATGTATATATTATTTATAATATATAAATAATTTTTCAACCCTTTGAAACGCATAATATTTTTGGTAATATCGTTATAAGCATATCTAATTTTATCTAATAAATAGTAAATATAACATTAAGTAAATGGACGGTCATTATTTTTGGTTAAACAAAAAATAAATAATAAAACATAAAAAAATATACACACGATTAAGTGTTACTTATATAAAATAAAAGTAATACATATGGAACATAACAAACATCACAACCTTTAGCCTTAATGAAAATCAATCACATAAATATAATAATATATACAAATATAATATAAACGTCGCACCCAGTTTGTAAAATTTCTTTTTTTTTATTGAAGTGCACTTATTTTTCGTACTCATACCTACTGTGAATTATAAGTTTATTTAGACAACACGGATGATCAATTAAATTGTACATACGTCATGAAATAACTTTTATTTCTTTACAGTAATAGCAGCCAGGCTAAATTTGCGGATAAATTTTCAGGAAATTCTTAGTTAAACTTAATTATGCATACATATTTTATTTATTCAAATCTTTGTAATGCATAATAGTATGATAATCATAATATTGTATGACTATCGAACGATTTAATCACAAATTTAGCGGACAAAAATAATTATCCATGTCGTGTAAAAAATGTATTGTTCAAAGTTTAGATACTTTTCACTAAATGGGTGCAATATTTATAAATATATATATATATATATACATAATATGTAAACAAAACAAATAAAATAAATTAGAATTTAAAAGTTAACAAGTCTAAATAGCCCTTATATTATTATAAAGTTAAAAATGTATTTACTCTATCGTATAATTTCATAAATTAGCTATATAACTACGAGAACTAATATGCAGCTATATTATATATATATATATTGTATATTAGTGTTATATTATAGCGATGAAAAACGAGGATAGCAATAAAGTTTGGTTGCACATTATTATATTATTATATACTATATGGTATAATAATAATATACACATGGGTATCTAACGTAAAGCTTCGTTTTGTATAAAACATTTTATTATGTATGAATGTATAAAAAAAATTGTCCAGAAAAAAAAGTTTAAAGAATTATATATTGTATTCATCTATCCGTGTTTGTTGTAGAATGTGCTCGGGTTAGTGCCGCTGTCCAATGTTCAGTTACATCTGTCAGTCAAATGAAGAACAAAAACAAAAAATAAATAAATAAATAAATAAATAAATAAAATAAATAAACGTCGGAATCTGAGTGCAAAAAAAACTTGTACATTACGTACACACAAAAGACAATAAATCTTTTGTTCCTTTTTTTTTTAGTAAGGCGAAATTTTGTAGTTTGAAATAGAATTGCATTTATAATGAAGTTTCGGTGTTTGGGTTTCTCGGAACCCCAGACGACAAAAATATTTTTTTTTCAGAAATTTTTTTCATGCACACAATTTGATGAATTTTTCGTATTTTAATCATCAAAACTATCAATGTACAATATAGGTAAAATAACTCTTTTATAAATAATCAAAATATTATTGAAATCTCAACTGGAGAATGTTTTCTTATCCTCCAATCTAATTTTTCTTATTTGCAAGGACAATTTATAATAATATTATATAGGCATTGCAGTCGTAATGAAGCTAGATTATTCGAAACGCAGTGTCTGATGAAGGTTTTCATGTTGAAATCATGTTTTCAAAGGACTCAAATATATATATATATATATATACATTGTAACACAGCGCACATTGCGAAATAAGTAATACGTATTATAATCGATTGAAACATAGGTCAAATTTAAAGGCTCACTTACAACTATGATCAGATTTAAACCTCAAAATGTTTTTTATCAACACTCAAGTAGGAAGATACCTTAATTTAGTTTTCATATCATACGGATATTTGTGAAACTTAAAATCACAAAAACATTTTTCGAATATAATATTATCATTGTCCTATTTTGTTTTACGAAATAAATTTGGTTTATGCTTTATCGTCTCTTTTAGTACTTAAGAAAACCACAGAAGACAGCAAAGAGAAAATACTGAAGAAATATTTTAATATCATACAAGGTACTCACGGTGTAACAAGATCTCTACCGATAATATTAATAGTTGTTMTATAAAAAAGAAAACCGCCTAGCATAAATCAGAAGTGCCTACCTATAATTAAAAAATATACATATTGCCTCTTTTAAAATTTTTTTATTACTTTTGCAATATTATTGGTTCCTGTTACACAGTTTTAGGAAAACGATTCCGTTTGTTACATGGAATCGTCAGGTCAATTTTTTTATTTTATATGAATTATTCAAGAATTTCCTTTTACCCATGGATTACAGTTAACTAATCCTAAACATATTTTTAAGGTTGCAGGTAAATGTTTGTAGAATAGTTAATTGCAAAATATCGTGGCCAAGATCGAGTTACCGCGATTTACTTACCGACATAACAGCATATTAATGTGTCGACGCGTCACTAGCCGAAATTATTTGCGTCATTTCCAATGGTGTTTTGTTTCTTATTTTGTTTTGAATCTGCAAACAAAAATCCACACCCCCACCGTGTACTGTATACGATCAAACTGCAAAAAACATTAAACAATAATGATCGGTATAATGTCTATTTATATCAAATAAACAATACATCGATAGTATAATGTACCAAGTACATAATGCACAAGTKAAACATATATTATTATGAGGTTCTTGTTTAGTGTACGTAGTTATTTGTGGACAATTTCGACGATTAAATAACAATAATAAACACTGCTGAATGCAATTGTAAGTACCAATGTTTATAAAATAAAGAATAAGAATAATCACCCGGGAAATATATTTAATAAAATACGCAATTTTAATTATTTTGTCCTATAATTATTAAAGGCAAGATTATTACCGAGTGCATCTCATAGGCTTTTTATTATATTTTAATTTTAAAGCGAATAATGAGTATTTTAAAATTGTAAATAGTTTTTATATCTAAAAATACTCATAACTCGGCTTAAAATTAAAATATAATAAAAATCCTATGAGATGCACTCGGTAATAATCTTGCCTTTAATTTTTATAATAGGTGACATTCACTCTAAATTTTAAAATAACGGAGATAAACGTGATCTGCTGAGCGTAAAATTTGCTATGCTACGCACTTGTACGACGGAGACAACACATGCGGGTTTGGCGTCCTCATAACGTATTAATAACTGAAGAGTGAAAGTGTATTATAATGCGCTTATCGATATTGTCAACAAATTTCAAAGCTAAGTTTTTGTGAGTTCGTGTTATTATAAAATCCCGTGTTAATACAAGCCACTAATAATTTAAACCCTAAATCGAGTTAGTAAAAATTTATAAACAGGTATGTTATTCAAAGCATAGTAAGAATAATTGTTAATAATCGGTATTTGTTTTTAACTTCTGTTTTTATTTGTTTTTTTTTTTTTTTTAATAAAATCTTTACCTTTCGTGTGATTGGGAGCGATTCAAATGACTCGTCCAGTTCATGTGTACAATGTACGTAACAATTGTTGGGATAAATAGTTTTTTTTACACATCATTCACCCGCCACTTCCGAAAGAGGGGTAAAAAGCGAAAATAAAACATAATGCAGCGGTTGATCGTTGGCTAAAAAAATTATATAAATTTGTTCCGTTCCTTGGTAACTGTATCACAGTGTAACTTGGCAAAGAATATAGGAAGCTTATACCACACAAATGTACCAAAAAAAGAATTCGTAAAAAATAATAATAATATTAATATTAATAATAATAATAATAATAAATAAAAATAATAATAATCAAGCGAAATAAAAAGACTGTTCACCGTTTTTTTTTTTTTTTATCAGAATACTGTACAAGTCATTTTATTTACACAATAATGTATTATCAAAAATAAATAATTAATAAAGTATAAATAAATAAATTAAAAAATAATAAGTATAATCCGCAAAATGATTCGTGAATTTTTTTCAATTTTACACGTAAGTAAAATTCATATAGGAGTTGTGACTAGATGTAAGTGATCCAAAATAATAATAATTATAATAATAATAATAATAATAATAATAATAATAATAATAATAATAAAAATAAATAATTTTTGATAAAAAAAAAAAATTATATATAATATACAAATGGTATATTATGTACATAAAAAAATTACTTTGATTATAACACTTATGGCCCAGAAAAAAATTTACTAAATTTAAAAAAAGTCTTTGGTAAAATTTTGAATAAATTTTGATAATTTAAAAAAATAATAATATATATATATATATTTATATAAATAATATGTATATATTAAATTAAATTTGCATATATAATATTAACCTAACAATAATAGGATCCGGACAAGCCTAGTTTACAGAAATAAGTCAAAGACGGGGCATACATACTGCTTTTGTTAACAATGTCTTTGTTCTCACACCGTTGACCCTTGAAGCCTTCGGCACACCTGTAATTGAAAAGCCATGTTTAATTGTGGTTTCAAACATTATTTTTGAAAGTTTAATAAAAAAATGTACTCATGTCATTGAGTCTATTTTAATGATTTTACCATTACAATATTTACGCTGTGTAAAATGTACACAGATATATTTTACAATGTAAATAAAATACTATATAGCATGTATAATATATTATACTCACTGGCAAACAAGTTCTCCGATGGTTTCGTAGAACGTACAAGTGCCCCCGTTCAGACAATATACGAGATCTGCTGGACAGGGACCGCCGACCAACGGCCACAGGGCTGTCGCTGCAAAACGAATGAAATATACATGGTAAATAATAACGCAATCGTTAAAGAAAAAAAGGGAAAACAATTAGAATGCATTGCTATGTGCTACGAGGCAATTTTATACTGTAAACATCTGCAGCTGTGTCGTATAGAATATGTGCTTTTGAAAATAGCGTTTTGGCAAAACGCACTTTTGCCGTGACACACTTTTCAATGTTATAAAATTTGTCAACGAGTTGAATTGGATTTATTGCATCAAAAGTGTCCTGATTATAGAATTTCATATTCTTGGACAATTTATGAAATTAAAATTGATGTAAACATATTTTTTTTCTCTTCCTACACCTAATATCATATTTCAATGTGAAACTGAAAATTCTAGAATTTTGATTTTATTAATCGATAAACATTTTTTCTGGGCAGAAGGAACGTGTTCAATAGATCTGAGTAAGTATATCCGATATAACGTCATATACTTGTGTATTGTTATTATAGTGTTCATATTTACTACTATMGATCAAAAATTGAACATTGGCATTTTTTAAAATTAACTTTTGGCTATCACTTWGCGTAAGATAAACCATCAATGAAATACTTATTGAAAAATTTCAGAAATTTTAGAAATCGTGGTTCTAAACGATAGCTCAGAAAATGTGTATAGGTTTATGACTAGAATCTGATGTTTAAARTAGTGATTACATTTATAAGAAAGATTTTAAACACATCTTTTATCCATAAAATTGTTAACACTTAAGAGATATTTACACCTCGAGTAAGTAAACGTGTCGTAKTTATAAAAGACATTAAACACATTTGTTTCTTTCATCTTTTACGCGGAGTATTATGTTTTATCCTGTTAGAAAATCCTATAAAATTAGTACGCCAAAGTAGGGAGGTACATCTTTTTTTAAGTTTACTAATGACAATCGTTAAGATTTATTGAGATGTAGAAAATAGATATAGTTGAATCGCTCTAAAGAAAGGTGAACTTTTTTATAGTCTACAAAAACAATAAATAATTAATGTAATATATATAGGGACAATAAATAACTGAATAGACATTGTCACGTTTTTCTGATTAGATGAATAATGTATTTATACTCGCATATATAGGTATACTATAATAGGTATAGCAAATAGTAGAAATGCGTCCCGTCAAAAGAGCTGTTCCGACTCACAAAACAGTGGGTATAATTTATGTATCTAATTTTTGTCAAAAAAAAACTTAAAAAAAAAATATGCTGGAACTCGCAATAACAAATAATGTATTATTAAGTGTTATTACTATAACGCGAGTAATAATCGTACACATGGGGTCAATAGCCAGTAGGTCATAAGGTTTATTTTTGCTTGTCGTGCAAAAAAATTGATATTTAAAAAAAATATAGTATGTATAAATAGGTACCATAATATACTATATAGATACTAAAATGACTATAATTTATCGTAGGCACTATGTGTAGTATGGAGTATAAACTTTAATTCATTTTTTATTGCTTACTTATCAGCTATAATCTCGTTAGAGTTTTTATTTTTGTACCTACTTACTTGAAGTTTTATAATAACAACAACAACCACAACGACAACGACGATGATGACTACGAAGATAATTCATGATGATTTTATATAGTTTATAATTATAATAATCAGTACTTAATAAAATTATAATCAACTAATTAGTTGTTAATAGTTCCAAAATCTTACCATAACATATTATTACTACAGTAATTTTTTTTTTACTTTATTTTACATTTTTCTTTTTGTATTAATAATAATCATTTGGTCTATCAAAATAAAAAATAAATAAATCGTCTAGTATTAGTTCTATTTTAAATTAAATATATTTTTTTTGATATGTTTAAATCAATATGATTTAATATCATACACTTTTTAATAATTATAAACGATTATTCATTCTGATTTCTTTATCGCTAAACCCTTAATTTATTTAAACGAAACAAATATTATATACCTTCTAACTTCATATTGAATAAGTACAGGTGATTAGGGAACAACTCATGACTGTAAACTCAAGGATTATAATATGCATTATATAGTAACTACAGTCATATTATTTAATATTATGAGCTCTCGTTGACATGAACGAAWTATAAATACAATTGCTGTATAATAAAAGTTTTAAATCATTGAAATTAATTAGAACCAAAATACACTATTTAGTAACAGCACATATGTTTTGCATAAATTGTATATTCACAAGGCTGAGTTAAAATATGAAAATTAGACAATATTTATTGGTTTAGTGAAAGAATAACATCATGTTATTTTAGGGGATCGATGAAACAATTACATTTTAAATACAAATAAAAGCTTTATTATTTATAAATTAATTATTATTGTTGTAAATCACAACAACGTCTATGGAATCACGTTTACCAAAATATACCTATAGTGTATTCGTGTAAAAGTATACCTACAATGTTAGCATATTATTATATCTTTAAATGTTTTCAAAAATATGAWTAGGTCGGTAATTAGATAAATTACATAATAAGTATATTGATATTATTTTACTACGTAGGGAATGATGTTTCCAAAATAYATTTATGGAAATTTTAAGCTCCACGATTATAAATTTTATCTGCGAGTATTTTAATCATTAAATAGGTACATGCATTTTATATTGATGGTAAATGTATAGTATGAATAGAATAACTTTACTATTCAGAATCGTAACACGTTTTTCATCAAACGCAACTATTACACTTTTATAATAATAGGTACTTTAATACAGCGTTTCCCTAAGTGTGTTCCGCGGAACCCTATAGGGTTTCTTTGGACTATTTCAAGGGTTCCGATGTATGTGATACTGAGAAAATTATTTTAAATTATATTATTTGGATTATTTATATAAAAAATATTATTTTATATTATTTAAAAAAAGTTCACCTAAATAATGGTTATTATAGTATAATATCGTTATAAAATATTTGTCGTATGTACTTGAAATTGAAAAGAATAAAATTATAACACTTATAATAAATGTTTATTATTTAWATAAATAGAATTTTCATTGAAAATTGTTTTTAAACTAATTGTAATAAACAATAATCATTAACAATATCATTAAAACATTTTTTTATTACTGGTATTTTTTAGGAAAAATGGGATTAAGTTGGAATTAAAAACATTAGGGTTCCGCAAAACACAAATTATTTCCTAAGGGTTCCGTGATCCTAAAAGTTTGAGAACCGCTGGTTTAATATATTGTTTGGCCCACCGAAAGGGGTGTTTCCGAGTCCAGACCCCCCCCCATCTTGTAGAAGGTACCTATATATTTTGTTAGGTTATAAGATTTAAATTAACATTTTATTTTTATGTTACGAACCTTAAGTAATAAATAATTACTATAATGTTTTATCATAATTTATATATTAAGATTTTAAATTTCAAATTAATGACGATAAAAATTAATGGAAATAAATATTTCTCGTTTGAACCCACTAAACGAAACATCCTGGTTACGTCAATAATGATTAATCAGTATACTATCGCCACCATTATTTTAAAAGTTTTAGTAGCTTATTGCTATTGGTTAACGTGGTTGGAGAAAACTAAGACAAATTATTTTTTTTCCAGTGAATGAGCAATTATTATACTATAATCAAGAACTTCTCTACGATCGAACTGTGTATTCCATCTGCTCGAAATTCTTGGATTTTTTCACTAAAAGAYGCCCTCGTAGACTAGCACGCTTAGCTCAATAATAAAGTGATTTTGAGACTAACAACAACAAGATCCACGAAGATTGCGAAAAGTCTATTTATCGGAAACATACGAAGTTCGAGATTCAAGAAAAGGATTAAGTTGTTCACTTGTTCGGGCACATAATTATAATAATAATAATAATAATAATAATATCAAGTAACAACGATATTACACAGAGTTCGATCAACACTTATCTCCTTCACCCCTCCCCAAAACCAAACCCCAATAACCTATGGCTAGCGGTCGTCGTTGTGTGCATGCACTGAAAACCCATTCGTTTTGGGCGTTATTTGTGCGCGCCGGTCTGTAATTATAACGTCCGCGCGTTCACGTTGTCGTTTCGCGGCGATTTTACTCGTTTCGAAAGTATCACATTATTGCGACGTCTCCGAACGATATCGGGAACTGAAACAGCCGATAAGGTCTGTTATTAGAGCCAACTGCCGAACAAAATGTCGCCGTAATTGGTCGTCTGTACGAGATATTAGAATGTATGTTATAATAATATTATGTTATTATAATAATAATATTTGCCGACGAAACAATCATAAAATTATCCTCACCCGAAAAAAATATGTCTAGTAATAATTTATATGGGAGAAGGTACGAAATATTTCCATTAGAAAACCGGTTGCGAGGCTATAARCACGTCATATAATATAATATGATTGATTATGGTCAGGTGATTTTATCAACAAACAAGAGGACGACTACTGAGGTCTTATTTATTTCCTATAATTTATTTATGACTCGWGTGTATATTTACGTTTTCGGTATGATAATATTATTATGTAAACATTAATAAGATGATTTTTTTTCGACGCACAATACTCCGCTAGTGTCTAATCATAATAATATAATGTACAAAATATATTATTCCCTAAGATATAGGCACTGATAAGTTAAAAACTTTGTGTTTTTTAAAACCTTTGTTGGCTTTATTACTTGACTAGTTAGTTAAYTTTGTAATTAATCTAATAAATAAATACGATTCCTATGTTTATGGAAATTTTTAACTGTTGATGAAAATAATTTTTGATTGATCATGCTGTTGACAATGATTTTAAACAAAAGTAAACAAATAAATGAGTAGCTGGTAGACATATATCACATAAAAATAAAATTCGCCTAATCAACTGCTGCTGAATACATACGAATAAAAACTTGCAGTATGGACCTTTTTGTTTTTTAATAAATAAGAGTTGTTGTCTGTAAACTATAAGGTATCGATAAAGTAATACCGCAAAACTTACACCGCACACGATGTTAAACGATGACGATAGAATAAAATCATAAAAAATTAATAATAATAAYATAAATGCAAGCGCAGTTACAGAGTTTACTATAACACTACACTGAACCGGTGCGGTGGGGTGTGCGCCCGCGCGTTCTAAACGGTTCTAAAAACCGGGCGCCCGCCTCAGCTGCCGCCGTCTCTGCCAAGCACGCAAACAGCCCGAGGATAACCCAATTACCGTCGCACGCCGACCGCCGCCGCCTTTCTGATGGATTGTTTACATTATTGAATCTCGCCTGTATGTCTGCCGTCGCGCCGGGCCAACCGCCGCCGCCACCGCCACACTCACGCACACCCACACACGCACACAGTCCGTCCACAGTCCGCTACGGCTCACCCCCCCCCTACTACCCCTACTACGTGGGATTTCTTATACATTATTTCTTATTATTTTTTTGGTCCCGTAACCGAACACGTCTTCTTTTCATTTCTTTATGATTTTTATGATATTAAAATATGCACGAGTATACCAGCTGTCCGGAGTGATTCGCAGAAAACGCTCATCCCCTTTTATCTTCTTCAAAACGAGCCATTTAAAATCTGATTTATGGAATTTTTTAATATACCTGCATTTAGGTACTTTTAAAGACTTAATTTTCAAATTATTGATATTTTTTGTTCAAGCTATTTAAGGAGCATTAGGACCTGTGCAGATAGAAACTTCTATTTTTCAATCAAGAYCACTATTTTTATACTATATAATAAAACAGTAAACATTATACAGCCAAGTATAGCGGCTATTAAATTTTTAAATTTTTAACGTGTAAAAATCAAATCAAGTAATTAGTAATTACTAATAAAGTAATAACTATTAAGTATTCTAGTAATCAGATTTTGAATAAATAAATTATTGTAGAAAAAAAATTAAGGGTGCGTAAATCGCTAACGCGCTAAATTTCTCTGTACACTATTATATTATTATGAGTACATCTCAATATTTAAACGTTWATTATTTCAGTGAACTATGGTTTTGATTTTTCATAATAAACTACAGGTTGATGGTTCACCGTTTTCCAACTCATTGCAAGAAAAGTCAATGTGTGACCGTTTTCTGGATAGGATTCAAGGTTTTTGGTTCTTTTCATTTCCAAGAACAACTAATCAGTAATATTTACATACGGTATATGATTAACACTGAATATAATATCGCATCCGATATTCCGGTGATGAAATTATACGAACTAATTTGGTACATTTTCATAAATTATAAATGTGATTATTAAAATAATTTTATAATACAATGTTTGGTGATTGAGTAATCCGAACAAAAATCAAGATTGTTTACAATTAACATAAAATAGTTTGGCCGACTATGTTGTAGACTTGTAGGTCGTGCATACCTATGTTAGCTATTATATTAAATAGTATCGGTTGGGCGGATTGTTTAATTGTAATTTTATCGAAACTCGACGTATCTACACATATTATTGTAATACATTCTGATATTATAATAACACCGGATCTTCGAGAAAGCAGCGTGAGTAACAACGAAGTAGCGACGTCGACGACATCATTATAATACAATATTATTACAATGGAACAAATTGTTCAGGCTCGGTTCCGAGGCCGGTAAAGTAAAAATATATTTATATATATTATATTTAAACGACGCCGCCGCCATGTGATCATACAAAGAATTCCCACACAAATATTTAATCACAAAGTTAATTAGTGGTTTGCAACCCTTTTCGAATAAGACGTTACAAATACTACGTCCAATATAAACGGACGAAGACGACCGTCGGTTACTATATATGTGTGTGTATGATATACATATATATAGACCAGGTTAAATTCYGCTCGAGGGGATATAATAAGGACCCAATCGCATAATATTTATAACGATGGGGCTTAACGGGTCTTGATKATCGGAGTTAAAACACGAAAGCATTACTGGCGTGGCTGCTAAAAAATCTCAAGATATCATGGCAGCTATAATATAKTTATTGTTAAATAAATTATAAGAATATTATATTATCATAGACAATATCTTAGAATCGAATCAATTTCCATTACTCGTAGGYATAGGACTTTGGGAATGAGATTGAACAGTATATTATAGAATATATTCGATACGGATATAAATCTGTAACATCCATATTATATAGGGTCGAYAACACTAACACTSCGGAGTTATATTTTTGATAAAGATTCTTATTATTTCACTAATGTCTTTACCTACTTTAAATGTATCTGTTTATTTTTTACGCGTTCGGTAAATTTATCGAGTAAATTACAAGTCATCTACAATATTTGTTCTTTAACCCCTAATGTTATACGTTATTAAAGTATAGAAATGTGAAGTTTGAAAGGTGATATTTATAGTTTTTATTTGAAATACCAATTTTTTAAATTATAAGAATTTCAATAAATTTAAAATTCCTACGATAATACATTATTATATACTCGTAATATATGTCTCGTATGAAAAGTGTGCTAAAACAATTAGTATTTGGTGTTTTAGCCTCGGGAATTATAGTCTTCAAGTTTTATACGTATTTCTATTTTCGTCAGAGGCTAAATATTATTTTTCGAGTTGACAACTGTATGCATTTATAATTGACTATTGTATAAGTATTTATAGGTAATGTTAGTTTTTTTATTGCCTGTACTTAAACTAACCTACAATCATAAGCGAAACTAGAAAATTGTATTAGAACAGGCCAAATGAAAAATATGAAAAAAAAATCTAATTAATAAGTTTTTTTATTTAAATTTTAAATTGTATTATGTCGTCAGTATATTATCCAGTTAGTATTAGGTCAAGCCATGGCCATWATGGCCAKACTCGTAGTTTCGCCTATGACAATGATGTATATCAYCTAAAATGAGTAATATTTATCGGAAAACGTGTTGGTATACATAGTAGCCTGCAGGTAGTCAAAGATTGTGTATCAATATAATCGATATTATTGTTTCATCAAAAGTGCAATTAATATTGTCCGAAAAGACGAGTGGCTTTTAAACAAAACATCTTTATAATTATAATATGGTCTATACAGCAGGTCTATACAAACAGCGTCGTAGCAGGTATAATAATAAGTATGATGTATATATATATATATATATATAGTGACTATATAGGAGGTACACGTTATTACTTATTAGTATATCGGGAGTGGACCTGAGCACGTACGAGTTCACATTGATTGAAACACATCGAGCAGATGGTGTGTGTGTGTGTGTGCTCGCGCGCGCGAGAGAGAACGGCCACCGCGATCGGCGACCACACGTGATACGAGTCTGACCAGTGTGTGTGTGTGCGCCTCCCGTCGCCGCCTATCGACCTGCGCGGGGGGCCCCGCGGCACCATCGGACACACACAGGCACAATAGTAGTGTGGTGTTTATTTAACGTTTACACTATCATTTGGGACTTGTGGAAATTGGGTCGTTAGTGGTAGGAATTYGTTGTTGTTGTTGATGTGTTTTTTTTTTTGACAATAACATTTTAATTTAACTCATAACTATAATAGGGTAAAATCATTTTCGAGCAAAACGGGTAATCCAGTTTTCATCCACGTAATATGCGTAATATTGCACTCACGTATACCGATCGAAACAATTTTGGCGTCTTGTGCCTCGCGTATATTATTATTATGATTGTATTATACCACGAAAAAATGTATTTTACATAGGACCGACGAAAATCAAACATTATCACATATTTATACAACCAGTTAATAATTATCCACAAATTTGTCACGATAATACGATGTAGTATTATTATATATTTCGTAAACATATTAATTGCTATAGCTTTGCAGTGGGAATTTGAATACGAATTAACTGATTCAATAGTCAGCAGTTCGTATATATTCATAAAATAATTTTTTTCTTTTCAAAACCAATCGACTATATTATAATATACTAATATTTTTATATATATTTTATGTTTATTGTGTATAATATGTGATATAGTATGTGYTTACGATTGGCGATTACTATTTATATTTTTTAATCACTTAACACTTATAGCTGTTCCTCACCAATATTAAAAATGGAAAAATGAACCATTTATTTAAGAAAGTCGATAAATTAAAATTTTCCAAAA